ATTACATGAGCACTGCGAACACGCCCACTTGCCTTCAAATAGGGGTGGGACCCACGAGCCGTCTGAACCCACCTGCCACTGGTTCCGATTGTACTTGTAGCCAAGGTAACGATAGTTCCGATTCTGCCAGCCGTACCCCTGGATGCCGCCGCCAGCCATCGGGACACTGGGGCTGGAATGGGTTCGGAGGAATGGCCCGCCAGTGCGTGCCGCTCTGAAGATCAGCGCCGGCAAAGTCCAGCAAAGCCTGGGCCAGAACGGCTAGAGGAGGAGGGGGAGGACGAGGAGGAGGCGAAGGAGGAGGAGGAGGAGGATGAGGCGAAGGAGGGGGAGGATGACGACGCGGAAAAGGAAGCGAGACGACGAACGTAAGAACAAGAAGCGTCGCCACCGACCACTGCCAGAGAGACCCCGCGGGCTGCTGCCCCTCTCGACGACGGAGGCTCGGCGGAGGCAGCGGGGGGCCACGGGGCGCCAGCGGCAGAGGCACCGAACGAGCCGGGGGCAAACGTCGCTCGGTTCCGGCCGGGGCGATCGCCGTGTCCACGAGGAGGAGGCTCGTCGCGAGGAGCCCGCTGCTGCTGAGCCTCGAACCACGACGTGCCCGTGCGACACAGTCCATGGATGTAGCGTTTGGCCTGGAACTCGTACGTGCTGCTGCCGTTGTTGGGGCCATTCGTCGCAGATCGGTGCCACACCACAGGCCCTCTCGACGGACGCGGCGAATCTGATGATTGATCTGCTTGAACGCCCTTCCGGCGAGAGGGACAAACGTGTCTTCAGTAGTTAGTGCAAGCCCGCGACGAAATCCAGGGAGCCGATGACCAGGCACGGGACCAACACGTGGTGGACCATCGTTGTCTTCACCTTCGAGAGAAAGCGTTTCACGGGCGTTCGCCTTGGGACCATTCGGCGGCGCGGTTCGAACTGGGGGGAAGCCCCCCCCCTAACACTCGGCGCCGTCGACCCAAACCAGGGGGAATCCCGGGTTCAAACCCCCCACTCCCCACCCGGCGCCGGCGCCAGAGCCGGCGCTCGGCGCCAGAGCCGGCGCTGGCGGCCGCCAGCAGCGCCGATGGCGGGAACCCAGCGACGAGAACCAGAGGCAGCCCAGGGGGCAGGGGGTGTTTACAACACCTCCCCTCCCCCCCCTGGCGCCGGCGCCGGCGCTGGCGGCCGCCAGCAGCGCCGACGCTGGCACTGGCGACGGCGGGGACGCAGCGACGATTACCACCGCTACCACCACCAGCGCCACTACCACCAGTACCGCCGCCTCAACCCACCACCACGACCACCAACCCACCAACCCACCACACCACCACCACCACCACCACCACAACCACAGCCACCACCACCACCACAACCACCACCACCACCACAATTCACCATCACCACCACCACAAGAACCCACCACCACTATCACCACCACCACAATCTACCACACCACCATCACCACCACCGCCACAACCACCAGCACTACCAGCAACACGACCCACCACCACCACCAACAACACAAACCACCGCCACCACCACAACCCACCACCACCACCACCACAAACCACCACCACACCACCACCAAACCACCACCACCATAACCCACCACAACCACCACCTCAAACCACCACCACACCACCACCAAACCACCACCAAACCACCACCACCACCACGACCACCACCACCACCACCCACCACCACCACCACCACCGCCACCACCACCACCACAACAAACCACCACACCACCGCCACCACAACCACCGCCACCGCCACAACCACCACCACCACCATAACCCACCACCACCACCGTCATCCTCGTCGACGCTCCCCGCCGCCGCCGCCCGCCGCCGCAGGTGCTGGCGCCGGCCCAGAAAAAGAAATCGTCGTCCCCGCCGCCGCCGCCAGCCGCCTTCGACGCAGGCACCAGCCCGAGGAGAGGGGGAGAGGAGAAGTAGGGGAGGAAGGGGGGGGTCGGTTCCAAAACCCCCCGCCCTCCAAGCGACCACAGAACGCGCTCTTTCTCACCTTCATCTCGTCTGGGCTTGCGGGTCCGCTCGGCGTTGCACCGCCGCCAAGCTTCGAACACAAGCCTCAGCACCTCCGTGGGGACGCTGCGCGATGGTGCTGCTCGGCGGAACGGCGCCCGCGAGACCACTTCGATCCCCTTCTCGATGTCGTCCCGCCCCAGCTCGAGGTGGTCGTAGTCGTACATCGGCGCACGACTGAGCTCCGAGACGCAGTGCTGGCGGAAGTCCTCGAAGTCGACGGTGGTAGCGCCCAGTCCGCCATCAGCGCCAGGTTGAGCAAAGTGCTGAACCACTTCTCGGGGGGGAGGAGGAGGAGGAGGAGGAGGAGGAGGAGGAGGAGGAGGAGGAGGAGGAGGAGGAGGAGAGGAGGAGGAGGAGGGAGGAGGAGGTGGAGGTGGAGCTGGAGGTGGAGGGAGGAGGGAAGAGGTGGAGGAGGAGGAGGAGGTGGAGGTGGAGGAGGAGGAGGTGGAGGAGGAGGAGGAGGAGGAAGGAAAGGACGAGGACGAGGACGAGGACGAGGACGAGGACGAGGACGAGGAGGAGGAAGCACGCAGCTGTCGGCCACGTTGTGCCTCCTGCGCCTCGGGCCTCGACACCGCGCCGCGAGGAGACGGGGCAGCCGCCACACTTGCCGCAGACTGGCGACGGCGCTAGGCCTCCGCCATCTCCCTCCTCCCTCCTCCCTCCTCCCTCCTCCTCCCTCCTCCTCCCTCCTTCGTCCACCAGCATGGCCACCTTATTCCCACCAGCCCTTTGGGCGTGAGGTTTAGAGAGCCTGCTCTGTTCTCAACCCCCTTCTTCCCCTTCGGGGATGGGGTCTACCCCTCCCCCTACCCCCTCCCCCTGGGCCTGGAGAGGGCGTTCCGCGGGTGGTTGGAGGGGTCTTTTTCGACTCCTGGGAGGCCTAAAATTCGACACCCCTCACGAGGATTCTGCCCCCGACGGGGGGAGGGAGAAAAATGCTCGCCCCAGCTGTGATCGATCGCCCGAAAGATGGCCCCAAGATACCTCCCAGACCCCTCCCAAAGAGCCCCAAGAGGCCCCAAGAGGCCTCCAAGAGGCCCCCAAGATGCCCCCAAGAGGCCCCCAAGAGGCCCCAAGAGGCTCCCCCGAGGCACCCAAGACGCTCCTGGAAGCCCCTGGGGCCGCCAAGAGGCCCCCAAGACGCCCCAAACGGCCTCCAAGAGGCTCCCAAGAGGCCCGAAGAGGCTCCCCCAAGGCACCCAAGACGCTCCTAGAAGCCCCTGGGGCCGCCAAGAGGCCCCCAAGACGCCCCAAAAGGCCTCCAAGAGGCTCCCAAAAGACATCCCAAGAGACTCCGCGATGCATCCAAGAGGCCTCTGGCCCTTCTGCTCGTCCTCCCCTCCTCGTCCGCCTCCCCCTCTTCCTCCTCCCTCCTCCCCTCCCCCACCTCCTCCTCCGATTCCTCCTCCATCCTCCCCTCTTGGGATATGGCGGCATCCCCTGTCCTTCGTTTCTCTGTATGCTCCCACACTTCCCTGATCGGATCAAAGCAACTCCTCTGGGCATCATTGCTGAAAAGATGACCAACAAATCCCGACAGTCGGTACTTTTGGCTAAAGTGGCTGTTTTAGGATGGGCTGATGGGGATTCGCGAAGCGTGAACAATTTCCTCCTGCGCACGGCGATGGGCTCGAGTCGACGAGAAGCGCGCGCCAGTGCCATCGACGTCTCGAGCGTGTCCAGCCCGTCCTCACGAATTCGGTGACGGGCTGCCAGCAGCAATAGCCTCTCAGCCCGCATCCGCACGATAATGGGCTCCCGCCTGAGAGGAGGAGGAGGAGGAGGAGGAGGAGGAGGAGGAGGAGGAGGAGGAGAAGGAGGAGGAGGAGGACGAGGACGAGGATGAGGAGTAAGAGGACAAGGGAGGAGGGGGAGCAGGAGGAGGAGGAGGAGGAGGAGGAGGAGGAGGAGGAGGAGAAGGGGATGAGCCCCCATCCCATCGATTGAGCCAGCTGTGCCCCCCCCCCCCCCCAGACCACAGCTCGGTCAAGTGCTCGCCCTTCCGCGCTGCTGATGTGCGCGTGGGCTCCACCGGTGACGCGCTCCCCAGGGGGGGAGGGCGACGAACCCCCTTCAACTCATGCGCCCTCTGCCCTCCTTGCCCCTCCCAGTCCTCCTGCTCATGCTCCCTCCCCATCCTCATTCTCCTCCTCACCTCCTCGTCCTCCTCCTCCTTTTCCCCGCTGTGGGAGGCCCGTCCGTGGGCCGCCCGCCAAGGCGGGCCGCTGTGCGCAGGCTCCACGCTGGCGCGGGCTGGCAGCCTAGCATTGCCCCTCCTTACATCCTCCTCCTCCTCCTTCTCCTCCTCCTCGTGCTCCTCCTCCTCCTCCTCTTCCTCCTCCTCCTCCTCCTCCTGTCCTCACCTACTCCTTCTTCTCCTCCTCCTTCCTCCCGTAATTCATCGTCCTCACCTCCTGTGCCTCCCCCTCTCCCCCTCCCGTCCTCGCCGCCCTCTGCGCCGTCCTCCAACTCCTTCCTCCTCACCTCTACCGTTCCTCCTGCCTCTCCTGCTCCTCCTCCTCCTCCTCCTCCTCCTCCTCCTCCTCCTCCCCTGCTCCCCCTGCATCCTCCCTGCCCCTGCTCTCCCCCCCTCCCTCCTCCTCCTCCTCCTCCTCCTCCTCCTTCTCCTCCTGCATCCTCCTGCATCCCTGGCATCCTATCACTCTCCCCGCTCACACTCCAGACCTCCTCCCTGCCCGCTCCTCCGCCCCGCCCGTCCCAGCTCAGCATCCCTTCCACACCGCGCCTCTCCGCCTCCCCTGCCCCTCCCACGCCCGCTTCCCCCCAAACAGGGCCCGCGTCGCGGGGCCTTCGCCACCTCCACATGGATTCATGCACCCGCGTCGCTCACGCCGCCAGGCCCCCCGGAGCGCTCTGAAGGTCGTGCGCTCCGCCACCGCCGCGGCCGTCGCCGCCGTCATCGCTCGCACGCGCCGGCCGGCCGCGGGCGTTCGCCTCCGCCGCAGGCACCATCCAGGAACGCTTCCCGCAGTCTGCGCCCTCGGGCTTCTGGTTCGGCTTATGGTGCGCGACCACCTCCGCACCGAGCCCCCACCCCCGCCGCTCTGCCGGGGGCGGACCGCGCGACAGTTCTGATCCCTCCACCCTCCACGGAGGAACGCAGCAGGGGGATGAGGACGACAGGGCTGTGGTGGTGCCGGTAGGCTGACACTGAGGGCGAGGACGGACAGGGCGACGAGGTCAAGAACGAGGAGGGATATTCTTTACACTAGGCTTGAGCGCTTCTTGTAGTACGACGGAGAAGCTACACGATTGGCTAGAAACAACATTGTCCGAACCCACGCACCCACGCACCCACGCACCCACGCACCCACGCACCCACGTACCCACGCACCCACGCACCCACGCACCCACGCACCCACGCACCCACGCACCCACGCACCCACGCACCCACGCACCCCGCACCCACGCACCACGCACCCACGCACCACGCAGCACCCACGCACCCACGCACCACGCACCCACGCACCCACGCACCCACGCACCCACGCACCCACGCACCCACGCACACGCACGCACCCACACCCACGCACCCACGCACACACGCACACACGCACACACACACACACACACACACACACGCACACACGCACACACACACACACACACCACACACGCACACACGCACACACACACGCACACACACACCACACACACACACACACACACCACGCACACACGCACACACGCACACACGCACACACGCCACACGCACCACACACACGCACACACGCACACACGCACACACGCACACGCGCGCCACACACGCACACACGCACACACGCACACACGCACACACGCACCCCCCCCCCCCCACCCCCCACCCCCCCACCTCCCCACCCCCCCCCCCCACCCCCCCACACCCCCCCACCCCCCACCCCCCCACCCCCCCAACCCCCCCCCCCCCCCCCCACCCCCCCACACCCCCACACACCCCCACACCCACCACACCCCCACACCCCCACACCCCCACACCCCCCACACCCACACCCCCACACCCCCACACCCCCACACCCCCACACCCCCACACCCCCACACCCCCGCACCCACACACCCACACACCCACACACCCACACACCCACACACCCACACACTCACACACCCACACACCCACACACCCACACACCCACACACCCACACACACAGCACACACATAAACAGACACAACTCTCAGGATTCCCCATCTTTCCTTGTACCTTCTGGGCTATCGTCTTCCACCCCCCACTTCCCATGGCTCCCCATACTTTCCTGGGGATCGGCGATGGACTGTGTCTGTGTGACTTTCCCCCTCCCGGATCCATCTGGGCGTGTGGTCGACAAAAGGCCCAGGAGGACCCGGCCGAGGGACGGGGCGGGGGCAGGGGAACGACGACCCGGTGCGCTGCGCGAGGGTCTGCCCCCGGCGGACCTCAACGGGTATACAGTCGAGGCGTTGACCTGAGGAACCCTAAATCAGGAACGAGGCCCCACTTCCCCATGAGTTGAACTTCGACTTCCGCCTGGGGAACCTCAGGACTTCACAGGGCAAGCTGTAAAGCAACGAGGGAACACGGAGCCCCTCCCCAACGAAAAGGGTTCCTTCGTCAACGCCCCGACTGTAAAGACCCAGAGCTCGAACGCCTCACAGGAATAACTGGGAGAGGGACAGCCAGATCCTCGACGGTGGCGACGACAGCGACGACGGCGGCGAAGACGACGACGGCGACAGCGACGAAAATGAGGGAGTCGAGGACGCGGGCGACAGCGGCGTCGACGAGAACGAGGACGAGGACGACGGCGGCAACGACGACGGCGGCGAGGATGACGGCGACAGCGACGAAGACGGCGGCGACAACGACGACAACGACGACGACGACGAGGGCGACAATGACGACGGTGACGACGAAGAATACGGTGACCACGCCCGACGACGGTGGCGACGACAACGTGGGGCGGCGACGACGACGAGAGAACTGATATCGTGTAGGGGGCACCAGACCGACGCCGTGCCACGACGTCCGCCGTGCCAGCGCCGCGGCCGCCTGCGCCCCCCAACTACAGCTCGAGGGGTGGCACCCGATGCAAGGCGCGCGGGGCTGCCCGGAACCGGGCGCGGTGAAAGCTCAGGGGGGCGAGAACAGCCCTCAGCCTGCGCCGCGAAGCGTCTGCTGCGGCGCCAGCTCTCGTCGCCCGAGGATAAGGATGGGGGACACGCAGGCAGTCGGCACTCCCCGCCCGATCGGCGCCGCCGCCGGCCCCGACAGCGGAGGGGCGCGGCCCGCAGATGGCGGCGAGCCAAGGGGGGAAGTGAGAAGGAGAAGGCCTTCTCGGAAGGCTCGGACGTCCCCGGGCCTTCTGGGAAGTTCTCTAAGCCTCCCCGAAGACGCAGACAACTTCTCAGAAGGCGCGAGGGCTTCAGAGAAGTCCCGCCGCCTTCTGAGAAGGCCTTCTCCTTCTCACTTCCCCCCCTCGCTCGCCGCCGAGAGGGGCCCGAAGTTCAGGCGCCGCTCGGGGGCGGCGGCACGTACACGGCGCGCACGGTCCGCGAGCCGTCGCAGAAGCCGTCGGCGACCAATGGCGTGCGGAAGCGCCGCTGGATCTCCTGGGCAACCACGTGCGAACCCTACCCTGGCAGGTCGGACTTCTGACACGCCGGCCGGGACTCAGACTGCGGGCAATACGTACATCCATACCCAGTGCGTCCTGGACGTTCTTGAAGGGGCGCCACAAGGCCGAGGCACACTGGATATGGATTCAAATCGAGCCACTAGAGGCCAAATTTTTATCCATATCCAATGCTCCTCGGGTTTCTGGGGAAGGCAACCCGAAACTCCATGCTGCAATGGATATGGGCACAAGTCTTGTCGGCACAGAATGCGAAGGAGGAGGAGGAGGAGGAGGAGGAGGAGGAGGAGGAGGAGGAGGAGGAGGGGGAGGGAGGAGGGAGTAGAAGGAGTGAGGGAGGAGGAGGAGGAGGCGGAGGAGGAGAAGGAAGACTGCGGCCAAGCGAGCCCCGAGCGGGGGTGTCCGATACCCGAGCGTCGACCGGACCCGCGGGGGTAGTGTTCGCACTGGGTCGCAGATCTCCGCGTCGCGCTCGCGGTGCAGCTGCCGCGCCTCGTTCGCCTTCTCGACGAACTCGCTGTGCGAGAAGGCCGCGGGGTCGCGCAGCGAGGCGGCGTGGCGGTCCAGGTACTCGCGGAGCTCGCGGCCGGGCGTTGGCTTCGGCAGCCTGTGGCGGCGCGCACAGGGATTGGGAGGCGACTTCTGGCAGGTCTTCGCGAGAACAATCCAGGGCGATCAAGCCAGATGAAAGGGACAGTAAGTACGGCTCGCCAAAATTGAAGCCAAGCTTGAGAGCCGGAATACTTAATCGGGACTACGCGGGTCTCTGCTGAATTAGGCCGGTTTTCGACCACAGATGCAACATTGGGAGGCAACTTCTGGGAAATCTTCCCCCAAACAATGAATGGCTACCAAGCCCGATTCAGGAACCACCACACCGGATGAGGCAGGATTGAGCGCAGGTAGCCGGATTTAGCAGGACCCACGGAACTAAACGGGTTCATATGCCAGATTAGGCCAGTTTCGACCACGGATACACCAGCGCCGATGCTGAGTTGAGCCTCCCAAGAGATGCATCCCTGTGGGTGGGGGCCCCGCGCTGCCTTGTCCGCACGGTGACCATTCTGGGCCCGTGCGCGAAGAGGCGGAGGCGGGCCGAGCGGAGGTGTTCACGAGACACGGAGATGCACATGGCGGGCTCAGGCAACCCTGAACCCAACAGTGGCGCCACCTCTTGGTGGCACATCTATACGTCCGCAGGGTTCACGCACATGGCGGTTACAGGAAACACTGAACCCACAAATGTCGGGAGCGGCCAAGAGGGGGCTGTCCAAGAGGGGGGGTGCAAATCATGACAGGCGGCATGTGCGCGGCCCAGCGGCGGGGCCAGGGACGCAATGGAATGAGACGAGGCGCCATGCAATCTGGGGAAATATCATGGCCCCCGCCATGATATCCCCCCCCCCAGTCATCCCCCCCCCTCCTTTGCCGCCCCCGGCACACATGGTACAATCTCCTGGTGCCGCATCTTCACTTCCGCCGGCCTCCGCCGGTCTTCCGCCGGCGGAGCCGCCCTCGCTGTGCGCCCGCCGGCTCCTTGGCGGCCTTCCGCAGGCGTCCGCCGGGGGAGGGATGGCAACTCCTTGGGTCTTCGAAGGCGAGGCCCGTTCTGACTGGAACCCGCAGCATGTGCAGGGAAAGAGCACAAGGGAGACGGAGCAGGGACCGTGGAGAGGCAGACAATCGGGCACCGCCGCCGCGCCGCCTTGTCAGAAGGCTGCCCCCTCGTCGCCCCACCGTGCGGGGTAGGGGGCGGGCCTCCTGACCAGAGGCAATCCCAGATCCTCACGCAGCTTTTCCACGACTGGTCAGCAAGAGCACGCTCCTGAAGGCCTCGCGCGGCAACTGATACCCAACTTACGCTGGATCTAGGGGAACAAAAAGTGGCATAAACATAAACACTCGGAGGTCCGCGCGGATCTCTCGGATCGGCGCTGGACCCGCCTCCCTGGCGCGCGGAGCGCGCCAGGGGCGGCGCCGGAGGCGCCGCCGGGGGGCCCAGCGCCGATCCGAGAAATCCGCGCGGACCTCAGAGTTTTTATGTTTATGCCACTTTTTGTTCCCCTGAATCTGAAATTTGACGCGAGCTCCCGCTGCAGACATCCCACGAAAACTGGGCCATCAACATCCAGGACGCGCTCGTCAAAAAAAGTCGGCAAGCCCGAGTTCTGGCGTGCTCGAGTCTCACGCTTCCCCGATCCTCCCCCAGACTTCTGTTGTTCCCATCGTACTTGCAGACCACATCCCAGAAATAATTTCGAGCACCCGGAAAAGTGACGAAAGAGTGTCGAAACAGTGCCGGACGAGTGTCTCCCAGGGCCCGCCACGTGAACGCAATTCGAGTTTCGGTATTTTGTGGGTGCTCGAAATTATTCCTGGTGGGCAAGTGAGCAAGGCCAAAGCAGGCTGGAACATCAGACCCCCAGACCAACTTTTCATCCCGAGCCGCTTTTCCTTGACAGCCCCGCGGCCCCGGCAGGGACCCCCGGGCCCGGGAGAACTGCCCGAGACGTCGTCTGGAGGGCCCGCTTCGGGGAGGGCCCCCCTCCGTCGGGGACATCCCCTGGGATTCTGGGGACGCCCGGAGGGGGCACGTAGGAGACGGGCCAGATGCCGAACGGCGAACGCTGTCGTCGACGTTATCGTACCCTGGAGGAAGAAAGAAGACTGCATGAACAACAACTTTCTTGGACCTGCGCCGACCCCCGTCCATGGCGCGCGGGGCGCGCCAGGGGGGGCGCCGCCAGGGGCCCCGGGGGCGGGGCCCAGCGCCGATCCAAGAAATCCGCGCGGCGCGCCGAACATTTGTGTTTACGCCGTTTTTTTCGTCTTCGATGGTCGGCGTTTCGACATTTGTCTGGGATGGACAGACCCCCCTTTCGTGAAAAGTGGTTTAGTGAAAACGACCTGAGGCCCAAACCTGGCGGGCGCAAGCCTGGAAAAGAACGGCCACGGCGCCCTCTCGAGAACCGAAAACGGACAATTCACTAATCGAAGTGTCACTGTTGGGGGTTCTATCCACCCCCGAATTTGGCGGAATGGGGGGGGTCTGGCTCCAGACCTCTGCTTATTGCGACTGCTTGCGGCAGTGCGTGCTATGGGGGAGACTCCACCTGCTCGAAACAGGCGCCAACATACAGCTACGATCTACACCATGGGGGGGGGAGGTTGGGGGGTGCGAGGGCCCGCGTCGATCGGCAAAACAATGAATGAGAAAACGATCGCGATGCCCAACAACGAACGCTGTTCAAAATCGACAGCGGCCGCTGTTTGGCAGGCGACGTCTCGTCTCCAGAAGACAGCGTTCGCGGCGGCAACGACAGTGAGTCCGGCTCTAAACGGGCAGGACCAGCTGTCGGCCTTCGCCCCATGTTGTTTCCGCAGTGCCCACTGGTTCGCACCTCTTCGGGGCCTCCGAGCCCGCCCGAGGGCAGAGGCAGCACACGCAGAAGGAACGCAAACGTTCAGACCTTCGCCATCGCACGGATGTCCACTCCCCGTGCCTTTTTGTTCGGCTTCGTGCGCGTATGTTCCGCAAGAGGTCCTCACATGTTCCTCGATGGTCCTTGCTGGGAAAAACTGCACACGTCCGAGCGATGTCAATGAGCGCTCCAAGAGGGACCCACGACTGCCTAGAGAGGGCCCGAAGACGGCCCTCGAAGGCCAATAGGTCCCCTCCGCCTCCTCCTCCTCCTCCTCCTCCTCCTCCTCCGCCTCCTCCTCCGCCTCCGCCTCCGCCTCCGCCTCCGCCTCCGCCTCCTCCTCCTCCTCCTCCTCCTCCTCCGCCTCCTCCTCCTCCTCCTCCTCCTCCCAAGAGGCATCCAGGAGCCTTCCCAGCGATGCACGCGTCCGAGCGATGACAGGGACCTCCGCACGGACTTCTGGGATTTGCGCTGCTGCCCCCCTCCACCCCCCTCCCTTTGAGCAGGGACCGACCGTCCCGGCATTCCTATGCGCCTACCACGAAATTTTCTTAGAACCCACAAATGCTCTAAACACAAAGCAGTGTTTAAATAATTTTAGAACATAACACCGATGTATTAAAACACGACAGTCCCAGCCAGAAATGTTCTAAGACCACAAAGCGTTCTTAGAACATTGCTTGGTAGGCTTATAGGCACGCCAGGACGCTTCGCCACTGCTTGATCCCTGGCGGAGCTTCTGGCCCCCCCCCATCGCGACAGCCCTCCCTTTGGGCTTCTTTCGGGCATGTCCTCCTACAGGCGGATTTCGGACAGAACATTACAACATAGTCCATCACATGGCACAAACATTCAAAACACAGTACGAACAATCGTAACCCCCACTATATGTTTTCTACTGTACCTGAATACTCCTCCTGTAGAAAGGACATGCCCGACTCAACTTCGGGGGGGAGACGTGAGACTCGGGCTCGTATGACTCGGGGTGGCCTCACGGCGCTGTCAGAAAAATGACGAGAGACCCAACCTGAAACTTGACGCGGGCTCCCGCTGCTCAAGTAGGATATCGACTACAGACTTGATTTACCCCCGAGTCGAATTCGTGCTCGAATCTGCGGAGCGTGCCTCGACTTTTTTCCCGTAGATCTGCGACCATCCAATGCATTCGCTTGTAGATTCGACGAAGAGATAATTTTGGGCCAAATGAATTCTGTAGTCCATCTCAGTCTCGAGCTGCAGACGTCACACGAAAACCGGACCGTCAGAATCCAGTACGGGCCCGCCAAATTCCAGCGCCGGCAAGCCCGAGAGCCGGCGGACTCGAGTCTCACGCTTTGGCCGGGGGGGGGGGATCGGGTCTTACAACGCCCCGATTCGGGTGGGGGTGGTCGAGTCTTATTAGAACAAGAACGAACGCCATAAACACATACTTGTGGCGCTCCGCGCGAGTTTCTTGGATCTGCGCTGGACCCCCCACCCCAGCGCGCGGAGCGCCAGGGGCGGCGCCGGAGGCGCCGCTGGGAGGGCCCAGCGCGGATCCAAGACATCCGCGCGAAGCGCCAACAGTTTATGTTTACAGTGGGGGCCCATGCCAAAAAACACCCTGCGTGCCTCCAGGGTGCCCTGTGTTTCCTGGATTTCGATGGTTTTGCCATGGAAAGCGTGACGTTCTTACATCACAAACTCGATGAACGTCCTGGGGTCTCAGGGCTGGGCTTCTTGTGGCAGGTTTCTTGTGGTCGGGTCCCTACTGTATGTTTTTGCTTTCCCGCTTGTTCGAATTACGATTCTCTGACTTGGGTGGCGACGGCCGCCGCCGCGGAGGCGGAGGCGGACGGGGAGGCGGAGGGGGGGGGAGGGAAAGGAGAGAGGGAGGGTGGAGGGGAGGAGGAGAAGGAGGAGGAGGAGGAGGAGGAGGAGGAGGAGGAGGAGGCGAGGAGGAGGAGGAGGAGAGGAGGAGGAGGAGGAGGAGGAGGAGGAGGAGGAGGAGGAGGAGGAGGAGGAGGAGGAGGAGGAGGAGGAGGAGGAGGAGGAGGAGGAGGGGGAGGAGGAGGGGGGGTGGGGAGGGAGATGGAGGAGGACGGAGGAGGAGGAGGAGGGAGGAGGAGGAGGAGGAGGAGGAGGAGGAGGAGGAGGAGGGGGAGGAGGAGGAGGAGGGGGAGGAGGAGGAGGAGGAGGAGGAGGAGGAGGAGGAGGAGGAGGGGGGGAGGAGGGGGAGGAGAGGAGGAGGAGGAGGAGGAGGCGGAGGAGGAGGAGGCAGGAGGAGGAGGAGGAGGGAGGAGGAGGAGGAGGGGGAGGAGGAGGAGGAGGAGGAGAGGAGGAGGGGGAGGAGAAGAGGAGGAGGAGGAGGAGGAGGAGGAGGAGGAGGAGGGAGGAGGAGAGGAGGAGGAGGAGTAGGAGGAGGAGGAGGAGGGGATGGAGGGAGATGGGGGAGGAGGAGGGGGAGGGGGAGGGGGACCTATACGATCCTCTGACTTGGGATGCGCGTGCCGCCGGGGCCTGGCGAGGCCCTGCTGCCTTGCCTTCTGCCGCCGCCTCCGCCGGCGGTCCGCCCGCCTCCCGGGGCGGCGAGGTCCCGGCACCGAGCACGCGCCCGCGGCGCGTGGCGGGGCCCGTCCCCTGGGCCCGGAGGCACCGGCGATCTCAGGGAGCCCACAAGGGACGCACGCGCCCAGCGATGGTACATGAACGCGGCCCCTCGATCCGCGAGACTGGCCTTGCGATGCGAACATTCGGGCAAGGCGTACTCTCGAAACCAGCGTGGGTTCATGTCCGTGTACGTCCTTCTCTCGCTGCTGAGATCTCAAGTACACAAGGAAACCATCGGACAAGGAAACCACGCACAGATCCGACGAGGAGCGGCGGGTCGGCCGGCATGGCCGATAATTCGGACTCGGGGCCGTCAACGACACGACCCAGAACGAAGAGCCGGCCCTGGGGAAGTGGTCCAAACCTCCGGGGCCCACGCATCAACAAAAATTGGAGCGGCCGGTTGTCTGGGCAGGGTCCGGAAGCTGGTGGAACTCCAATCGTGGATTGGCTATGGGCGAAACCGCCGCCCTCGTCCGATAAGGGATCCTCCAGTTTCTGACGCCTTCTGGGCGCATTCCTGAACCAACGCCCCACCGAGAGGAACAATCCACGGCGTAAACATACCTTCTCTGAGGTCCGCGCGGGTTTCTCGGATCGGCGCTGGGCCCATCCTCCCTGGCGCGCGGAGCGCGCCAGGCGCAGCGCTGGAGGCGCCGCCCGGGGGGGGCCCAACGCCGATCCAAGAAATCAGCGCGAAGCTCCGAGGAATTGCATTTAAGCAGCAGTTTGTTCTTCGACCAGAAGCCAGGTGCAGCCATATTGTTCTTCTATGAAGCCCATGTGTGTGTGTGTGGTGATAGTGGTGGTGGTGGTGGTGGTGGTGGTGGTGGTGGTGTCCCAGGATTCCCCCAATTGTTCCATATGTTCTGGGCTATCCTCTTCCCTCCCGCTTCCTCATTTTCCTACATCTTCCTGGGTACCGACGGTCAACTGTGTCTGTGTGTGTGTGTGTGTTTTCCCCCGCCTGGGTACACGTAGGCACCGACCCTGGGCCCAGGACGGGCCCGGCCAGGGCCGGCATGCGCAGTATGGACCTCGCCGCCCCGCGCCTGCCCTGCTTCTGCAGGATCTTCTGCAGGCGCGTGTTCATCTCGGACCACAGCGGCTCGCTCGGCTTCTCCATGGGGCCCCCGCTGGCCCTCGGGGCGGTGCCCGGGCCGTCCGGGCGCGCCCTGTCCGACAGCTTCTGGAGGACGCGGCCGAAGGGCTCCTGGAGCGCCTTGACTCGCTTGTACTCCACGATCGCGCGGTGGATGAGCTCGGACGCGCTGACCTTCATGAGCGGCTCCACCTGCCTCTGGGGAGACCGAAAGGTACCGATACCGCTACTCCCCGGACCTCGCCCAGGGTGCGTTCTGACCAGAATTTCGAGGCGAACCCAGCGGTGGCGACGAGGGCAGCCCAGGAGGCAGAATGACGGGAAAACGAGGCAAGGGTAGAGCTAGGGGTACCCCTTCCTCCTCTGCGCCTCTGGTACACCTCCGCGGGCGCGCGCGGGAGGATGTAGTTTGGCAGCAGCATCTTCGCGTCGAGCAGGCCGACCTCCTCGGCGCTGGGCAGCGGCTGCGCGGCGCCTCGCCAGCCGGGCGGCGGCCACGGCTCCAGCGCGCGCGGGCCCTGCTGCGACGCGCCCTGCGCCCGCGCGCCGACTACCGTGGACCTGGGGGGGGGCCACGACGAGGGGGGACTGGCACGGGGGGGGGGGATTCGAGCAGGGACCGACCGTCCCGGCGCTCTTGTTAGGCCTACCGCGAAGTGCTCCTAGAACCCCACAGATGTTCTAAGAACGAAAACCATGTTCTTAGAACATGCACCCGATGCCTGAGAACAGGACAGTCCCAGCCAGAAATGTTCTAAGAACATCTCGTGGAAACCACAAAGGTTCTCAGAAAATTGTTTGGTAGGCCTATAGGCACGCCAGGACGCTTCGCCACTGCTTGAGGGATGCCTCGACCTGGAATCGGGGAAACGTCGCCGATAGATCGGCGATGGGTCCCCGATTTCGAATCCGCATCTTCCTGGGCAGGTTTTCGGGCTATCGAGCTCCTATCGGCGATCAAGGGGCGAATGGGGGTCGATGCATCCCCCCCCGATGCCTATCGCCCCCCATCGTTGCCCCTAAGGACCCTGCACCCGTCAGCGGCGACGGCGCCCGCAGCGCCAGCGCGCCCGGCGCCGTCTGCGTGGCCTCTGGCAGCACGTTGCCCGGCGCCAGGGCCAGGCCGCGGGCCTGCCTGTCTGCGCGCCGCGTCTCGAACGCCCGCCCGATCGGCACCGGCTCCTGGGGAAACCCGAGAAAGACACTGACACCGCTACTCTTAGGTCGGGCGTGCCCTCCTACAGGCGGATTCTGGACGACAAATAAAACTGCCCCCCAACAAATCAGAAAAAAATTAAACATTTGACAAGTCGTAAAGAATAATAGACATATGCTTTCAAATGCCTAAAATACCCCAAAAGCGTCCCCAGACTTTTTTTTGACTACTTCTGCACATTCCTCCTCTAGGGGGACAGGCCCGACTTGAAACGCTACCTCGCCGGACCTCTCCCAGCGCGCGTCCCGAGCAGGAGCTCGAGGCGCCTCCCGCCGTGGCGGCGAGGGCCTCCTCCCTCGAGGCCGAACGTGGGGGCAGAAGCCACGAGGTCGCCCGCGCAGGCACGGCGCGCTCCACTGCGGAGGTGATGGTGGCTCCGACGGCCAGGCACCCGGCGAATCGAGATAGTCAAAACAGAGGTTCTGACCTCTTGGGAGAGGAGGAGGAGGAGGAGGAGGATCGGAAGGAGGAGGAGGATGAGGAGGAGGAGGAGGAGGAGGGGGAGAAGGAGGAGGCGA